TGCTTACAAAGTATTCAGAATAACCGCCTGATACTGTATTTATAAATAATAAGTGAAACATGTGGAACATTATCGTTCCAGCTTCTGGTTGTATATATATCGGTATAGTTTATACTCTCAGAACTAGCTCATGCCATTTATAATTAACTAACAACAAATATTAGTGTAATACGATGCTAATCCCATTTTGTTCCGTTTTTCTATGATTTATTAGGTTATATTCTTATTGCCATACTGTTTAATAATTTTTTATATGGAACCAGCTTCTGTGGATGTGATCAGTATTGTACTCGATCAAAGTGTAGTATTATATATATATATGGTATTAATACAGGGAGAGTATAGGGAGAGGGCATACAATTTTACACATGCCCTCTCCCTATACAAAAAAATCTGATGTTAAGTGACGGTAAGTAAAAAAAAAAAAAATTATATCAATCGACTCATTTTCTGTCTTTATTTTAAAAATTTCATATTGTGATAATTCATACTGACAGTTTGATCACAGCATAAAGAGAAGTGTCAGGAGCCTCGGTCTTGCATACTGACCAACACGATTCAATGTTTAAATATTCACTACACTGTATTTTTGTAAAAATCTGCACTGTTGTCCTTTTTTGACATTGTTTTGTGGAAATAAAATCTCGCTCTCCAGCCGCTCAAGTTGCTACTTTTACGATGTGTTTGTGACTGATCTCCAGTACTGCAAGTTCCTCACATTACATTTAAGTCCAGTTATTATGTATACAGTTGCAAGACTTCTCCATGTGGCATATTTTTTGTCCCATCCCATAGCAATTTATGCCTGTCCCATTTCATGCGATTGCCATCCGAATATAACTCAATAAAAGTTGTTAAAGTTAGGTTTAGCGTCCACTAAATAGGGCTACATGTACAAAAAGACATGCAAAACCACAATTTATTGACTTTGTTCAGAACTACTATATATCTAACAGGAAAGCTATGCTCAAATATATGGACACGGAATCTATAACGAAATGTTTTACCATCAATCCCCCGAAAATCATACGGTATCCTGAACGAACCCGAACAGCCACGGTAACTTTTCAGTACCTGTATTAGGGTAACGGCCACGGACTGTCCTATCTTTCCAGGGCTTGTGAAGATGATCTATGCTGTTTGATTCAGTTTTTGGGACCGTGTTCTCATGTGTAAAAATATTACAGCGAAAATTAGGATAAAATATCAGATCCAATAAGATGCATAGAAAATTTAGGAATAAAAAAATACCCTTGCAGCAAAAAATACAAGCTTTAACCACTGAAAATTTCAACGCCATGGGTCTAGTAATTAAAAAGAAAAGCGATTTTTTTCATAACGATAGAAAGAAAAATTCTAAGAACAAGAGCAACAATAAGAACAACGGCATCATAACAAAACTATAAATAGGTCCACTCTGTGTACAATAACTCAAAAATCCATGTGCCATGTGTCCCATGGTAACTACAAATGTGTGCTATCCCATCCCATGGGACGTGCGCGTTTCCAATGAACAAGCCTGACAATTACATCTCCATTGTACATCTCGTCCTCCTCGTTATTACTTTCATAATCGCGGATACTCTTTCTTTTCCTACACTCCAATATTTCAATATTTAACACAACATGAAATGCATAAATTATGCCAGTCCAAAGTTGGTACATATAACAGTGTGACTGGTAGCATCGTACTTTGACTGAATATTACACCAAACAGCCGAAAACGAAATAAAGTGGTAAAAACTTACTCTAGAATCAGTTATTCAAAGCCTATTGCAGGACTGTCAGCACTTGTATGCTCATTACATAAAACGTCATTACTTGATCTCCTTACAGCCAGAGCTTCCCATGCATTAGCATTTCTGTGTAACATTACTTATTGTTTCAACCCTCATGAAACTACGTGATGAGGAACAAGAATTTAATGGCAAAAAGTTAAAAACACTACTCGTGAACGTGCAGTGAATACAACTTCTGTCATCAAAGGCCGCTTCCGAACTGCGGTTGTTTTTCGTCGAAGCAATTTTTTAAAAATTCATAAGTAGAGGGTAAGTTGACTTTATGTGAATAGTAAATGTCAAAAGCGCTGATAAAATATATATAATCAAATTCCTCAGAAAAAATTTCGTGATAACCCACCTTCACAGTCACTGAGAAATATTTCGGAATGTGTGGCCATTTTTAAAGATTCATAAATTTTTTAGCAAAACCGCTTTTATTAACCCTGCTAAAACGCTTAATCCGATTCCTTGTTAAGCGCCAATGTAATATACCACGCGTTGGGTCGCTGTGGGTAAACAATGCAAATTGCGTTGCTAAGGTTTCGATAAAGTTAACATGAGCCACACAAATGATGTTGTACACATCATAAATTTGAAAATAGTATTAATGCCAAAGATTTATCTTAAAAACAGAGCAATGCTTTTCTGACTGCCTGCGGCATCAAATGCTCCTAATTCAACTTGATTATTTAATTTCTTGATACTGAAGTGAACGATTATATTCCTGATTTGCATTCAAGTTGCAAGTTACTGCAAATGTATTGCGTCCATTAGCCTCCTAGACTCGATCCCCATACGAGGTGACTGAAAGGAACAGGTCATTTTGTATATATTCTAGGGAAAACATAACTTTTGTGCTAAGTGTCCTAGATTTCTGAAACTTCTGGATGCAATCATACACAAACAGAAGTTGAAATGTTTAATAAATTTTGTTCCCTAATTATAGAATTTACGGGACATGTTTTATGTAGTCATTCTATTTATCTGGATAGGAAATGAATATTTTTTGCATATCCGAACATTTTATAAACATCGGTAATTAAATTTTGACCAACATCAGTCATTACATTTCGAACTGTGTAGCTTTCGATAACGTAACGAGTCTGCTTTTTCATACATTTTACAACGAAAGCCACAAATTTGCAATAAAAACCGGCTAACTATTTTTGCGTCAATTAATAATAACATGATCGGGTGAGTCAAAAGTTTCTTCGTAATCCGAATATTCGCTTCGTACACTACCATTAGCACGTGTGCCTGTAAAATTATAAATATACTCGAGCGGTGCCGAATATCCGTTGTTGGTGCGTCATGAATCCACGTTCTATATTATGAAGTTGTACAGTAATAAGTGAACATTTTTATATCCAATGATTTGCCTGCCAGAGTTAGTAACACTACCCCTTTTACTTATAGTTTGGTGTCATACAATAGAAAATACTAATCAGTATAATGATATAATAGTGAAAATTCACAATAAAACCGGTATATCATATTAAATGCAATGCGAGTAACTATCCGTGTGTTCTCTACGAATTTATCTTATGTTTTTACACAATTACAAATAAGTAAATTCTTTTACGCAATCTATAGTTACTAAATAAGTTGTAGGTTATTTTTGTTATATCCAGTAGTAATACAAAACATACGACAGTTCACAACGCTAAATATTTTATTCTCTCTATTGCAATTCTAGTTGAAAAATGAATATCATTTTGTTATTTATTCCTATAGTACCCGTGTTTAGTTCATGCCAAAATGTCAAAAAGTTCCACAGCACATTAATGATGTTACAAAACAAATTTCCCTGGCTGATTTTATCGAATGAAACAATGTCGGTATGAAGAATTAACCAGTATACCGATTATTCATCGGACATGAAAAAAGTTCCCAACGTTTCTTCTTATATCTCATGTCTAGAATTTTCTTGTATAATGTTTTATGAGATTAATATTGTGACCACACGGGATACCGAACTAACTTTGACGTCATTTGGTCGAGAATTATTTTCCACAATAAATATTTGATGGATGATAATTGGATGACACTAGTTAGATTTCACAACTCTTGTTTATTCCAGGAAAACATTATTTACAAAGGGTTGTGTTCCAAAACCGAACGTGATTTCCGGTTAGATAATGTTTAGCAGCCTGCGAGGCACACTTTACAGCGAACAAAAAAAAGATTATTGGAACTAATTTCGCATATTTATGTAATCTTCGCATTTATACCATATCGCAAGCGATCAGAATAGAAAATGTTGCCCTCGAGCCTACGGGCGAAATCATCATCGGTGTACAGATTACAAGAAGATCTAATGCTGTAATGACGTTATGCTCTGTTTTTAAAATATACGAGGTCAGGTTTGTGTGTAAATAAAATCGATGATCTAGGACTCTCAACTCTAATATTCTGATTGTTATCTGGCTATAATTACACGCAAAAAAGTACGGTGATTGGAACAGTAGAATAGTAATTTGTCTCGCGCATAAAACGAGCAACGGTGGGACTATAGATTCTGATGATTTTTTTTTTTATGAAAGTTTATTTCGTATACACTCAAGGATAATCAACATCATTGTTCTATAATCCAGTGGCACACACGAACTCTACACCGCCGAATATGCTCTAAGCGACCCAGATTTTGCGCGGGAAGCGACACTATGTCAAAGTGTTTCTGTACATCATGACAAGGTATCATTATCATGTATCACGATACCTGCTATCAGATATAACGTGGTTATTATAGGACACACACTCTGACAACTTACAGAATTGATGGCAATGGTTAACAGTCAGCCTACCTCTGCTATAACAAATTGGTCCGGATTTGTCTAAACGATAAAAACAACAAATATCACTCAATGCTCCAACTGGATATAATGGACATTATAATTGTTTTAAGAAGCCCATCCTGTCCGTTATCATTCTTGTACGACCGACATGATAAAAATTATCAGGAGAACGCCAATTTAAAAACATTCCACACCCCTATATAGGAGAAAATATTACGTGAGTGTTGTGTGATATTTGAACATTTGGGTCAGTTTTGAACGAAATAATTGTATAAATCTACGTTTCTGAGTATAAACGTCTTTACAGAAAAAACAAGCTTTCGACATTTGCCATATAGGCTTACCCTTTGATTGGCTTTTGTTGCAGCTATTGTCATTTTGCTATATAAGTTGTTTAAATCATATACATTAAACTTCGTCACAATTTCACGAAACTCTTTCTTATTTTTCACGGAGAAAAACAAAATTCAAAATTCCTTCATGCACACTTCAATAAATAGGACAAACAAATAACTGAATAATAAAAAAGAAAATACAAAAAAGAAAAAATTTATACGTTGAAGTGCAAAATTCACCAGCGTTATCTTGATATATTTAATATGCTCAAAAAATTTAGACGCAAAATATCTGAAGAATGTTAGGTTTCCGGCGTTTGACTTTCATCCATTTATTATTTGAATGACCTTTTTCTCCACCCAAGAAATAAATTTATAAACTTGAAGAGCTGGGGATATTGGGTGTCATTCAGTTGTTGATTCTGTTGTTTCGTTACTTTTTTCGGGAAATAAATAATCTGATCTTGTATTTTCTCGTAAAGGTGTTGTTTCGTCCAACTCCAGTCTAGAACTAGGCCAAAAAGGGTCTTCTTCTTTATCATCTTGGCGATTTCTGTCAGATAAGCGTACCATTTCAAAACAAACGGTATTGATCAAAAACAAATTTCATAAAACAATTTAAATCACAAAAACACCCAAATTTTGTGATTTTGGACAGTTAAAGGTAATTTTTTCGTCCTATCTAAATATTTTTCAATTTTTAGAATAAATTATATTTAAATGTAACAATGTTTGCTTTTGGCAGCAAACTTCAAGTTCACGCGACATTTTTATCGGAATCTAGAATAGATAGAATGAACTGGTGATAAGACACATCATTGAAAACTATTCTACAATATGACAATAATCCTTCCTACATAGTATAAATATTTAGACACCTACCTACAACACATGCAGACGATGATGAAAAGCAGTACGAATCCCAACAATACGATTGCGAAAATCGTTAAAAAATTTGTCGATGTCGAATCACATGTTACTTTATCCTGAAAACAATTTTTATCATTAAATTTTAAAAAAATGAATGATTAATTCCATTTATTGCTTATGATGTAAAAACGTAGAATTGATATATCCCAAATCCTTGTGACACTGAATAATGCGGATTTCATATGAGACAATAAGCAGTATTTTAATCATTTTACATTTTGAACGGAAAATCTCATCGGTGATACGACTGAGCTTCCGGCCTCAACAAATTACATAACCAGTAATACGATTAATTTTGTTTCAAAATAAAAATAAACAACTATTGAAGAGATAATTAACATGATGTCAAAACCGCCCAGATTAAAGAGTCCGTTTAATGTAACAGACATCTATTGATTTGGTAGAGAGAATCGTGACTCACCTCATCTTTTGTAGGATCGGGCGGTGGCGGTATTTTTGACTCACATCTGTCACCAGTATATTCTGCTGGGCATCTATTAAAAATGCATTAAAAGGGGTCAGATTACGCCGAATTCGGGTTAAATGGATTAAATGTATTATGATATTTATTAGGGTAAATACTACATTTCTATGAAGAACAAATCTATAATATGTTTCATAGTGAAAATTACGTTTATCTCCGTTCCCGAACTATGTCGCCAATTTCAATCATTCCCGGAAACGGGGGTCAAAAATAATTGACATTTGATGTTTAAACAGCAATTGGCAGACGACAAGGCAATATCATTTTTATCACAAGATATAATTTGTCGTCAATTTTGCTGTCAAATTCAGGTTTGTTTCTAGATCGCTAGACGCAAAGTTATCCGCTTATCACAAATTACACACGGACATGATACATCCGATATATTTGTTACGTCATTTGATACAAGCGGTTGGTATCCGGTATCAACCACTACAACGCGTTGTCTGTTTTATGAAGCTTTAACAGATCGACCAATTCACGCGGGTAAATCTAATCGATACGGCAGAAAGTGCATATGCAGCATGAGATCTTATCTTGTATGTAATGCGATTGAACTTGAGATTACCTACCTGCAAGAAGACCGATCTAAAATCTTGTGATGAACACATAACCCTCCGTTGAGGCAGAGATTTGCGTCTTTGCGAGGACATGGACCGTGGTGCATGGATTCTGGTGAAATTTCTGCAAAAGAAATAACATGAGATAAAATTATAACTGATCCTGTAACTGAGCATACCATGTATTCAAGTGAATGAAAACACTCATTTGAGCTTGCTATAAAATTTGCGAATTGCTGCTCGGAATACAAATCACAATAAAATCAATTAATTGAGAAATTGAGTTCCAATCATAATATTAATCGAATAATAAATTCAAAAACATATATATTATATATATATAAATATATATATATGTCAAAATATATTCTAAAATTTTTTCCTACTTCAAAATAGATTCAAGAAAGATACTAATAATGAATTATTCAAACTTGACTACTCGACTATAATTTTCCTGCCATGTTTATCATACAATAGTAAATATTATCGGAGTACAAATGTGTAAGTATTTTGTTGGCAGTATTTCATTCCATTTAACAAAAGTTGAAAGTGTTTTGTCATTTACCCGACTTGTAAGCTCCATTTTTTTTTTTCAGGATTCATTTGATTTTTATTTTTGAATAATCGGGCTGAAACTTCACTATGTCTGTTTTAAATAAACAGAAACTTTCTGTTTGAAATAAAACTAAACTTATTCTACGTACTTTTACAAGACGGTGTCCCACATATTCCAGAACAGACTTGCCGAATCGGTTGTTGCATTTCACATTCTTGAAGCATTATGCACAGTACATTGAAATATGGTTTTTGAAATCTAAAAATGTGACCATTAGAAATTAGAAACAAATAACATATATGAAACATATAGAAAAATACAAACAAAGTAACTAGAAAGCTTACATTCCGTCATCTCCACAAACGGGATCGTACAATCCTGCACTGTAACAGTTTATCTGAGGACATTTGCATCGATAAAAAGCTCTTCCTCTGTGACCACGCACATGTTCTTTTTGGCATGTTGCTCCAAAACTGCATGAAGATGGATCATTTGGATCACATTCATCCTTTCCAAAGCTGTGAGCCGAAGCAACACATAACAAGGAACAAAATATGATGAGCATAAAACTAAAGTTCGTTGGTTTCAATTGATGATGGTTCCATCTATTTCCGCATACGGGCTTGAAAACTCGAAGTGTGACAAGGAACTCATAAACATATGTAATTAGTTCAAAATCTTCGCCAATTGTTCTTTTTGTGCACTTTTCCTGTGTAGACTTACTGCATAATTGTCTTGCTAACGTTTCATTTCCATTGGCACGCGATGATTTCGAAACAATGTCTTGTACTTGCGATGACTTATGATATGCTGCAACCTTGCAACGCATAGATGTAGCCATTTTGTCTGGTTTAAAATTAGTAATTATATTTCTTTGGTTTGATGTATTTTATTCAAAATTATCTGTTAAAAAAACAATGGGTTTTAATACATAGAATCAACCTTAGTTTTGAACACTGTTCGGATCCGTTATCCCACCACCTACCATAACATGCCTGATTACTGACAAGTCAATATTCGATTAGGTATATATAAATATAATAATATTCGGAGATAAGCATCATATGCTAATGCACACGATATCATCTGTGCTTAGTAGCTAATGCTGTGCTAATCCGGACTGCGGGCGTTGCCTAAACAATAGAGCATCCGATCTCTCACTGTTGTGTTGAGACGTAGAGACTCCATTTTATTTTAAATCATGCTCTCTTTTTTTCTGTGGTACGACATTTTTACGCACATTTTTATTTTTACACATTAGAACGCAGTCCCGGTTTCAATTTGACGTGATTGTCCAAATTGCGTGGCATGTTATGATTGCGGGATAATTTTGCCCGTTTGTCCAAAAAACACGAGTTACCAATTTTCCTCCTTTAATTACACACATGTGATATTGAGTTCCTGCGCCCGGGAAGAAACATAACATATAGAACAGCCTGTGTACAAAACATGCGTTAGTCCTTATGTCAATGCTATGAGTACGCAGATAACTTTACACGACAATATAGATAGATTATGAAAATATTCATGATATGAATGTTGAATCGTCTTGATGACCATTATACAATACGTGACAAAACTCATGGAGACTTATCAGTGGGTTTAACTCTGATAAGATAATTTTTTGATTCAGTTAATTTCTTTCAATTTTAATTTTGACCATTCTTGTCATTAACACTAGGGGAACACGAGTAAACGATCATTTCATATTTCGGATGTATATGCACACAACCACCTATGGTATGCATATATATATATATATATATATATATGTACACAAAAGCATCTCAATATTTACGTGGATTGCACAAAGATTTATGGAATCCTCATCGTTATTGATTTTGTCAACCACGAGCCGTTGGTGGACCATTAGGTTGTGTTTATAGCAAAATATTTAGTGGTTTATGGGCAATCCACCGGCAAGAATGTCATGATATCATGACACCCGTGTCATAATTCTGAAACATAGTTAAATCACATTATATGCGCGGCCTACGATTCACAAGCTTATATTTCCCATTGACATTGTTGTTATGGGTTTAAATCATGGAGGAATTCCCACATTTGTGATTTTTATTCGCCAGATGCTGAGCAATAGTGACTTACATAATATGCTTCATGGTGTACGAAGTTCATTGCTTTGTTTTGCAAATAAATGTTAGTTTCCTTGGAGATATGAATAATGGGAAAGGATGTCATTATACACAATGAATTAATCTAGACGATTCTCTACGCGATCTCATAAAGTTGTTAATCAGAATCACTATTTCGCTTTCCGAACCTAATCACGGTTTCAACCCGCAGTTTTGTCATTTATCCGGGAGAAATTGACCTCGAAATCATTGTTTAACTCGTGAGTTATATTTCAGCAATGTTTTTCAAAGACAATGTTTAACAATTGTTCCAATAATAAAACGCGGTCTTACGCCCGTGGTTGGTATGTACTACGAAACGTAGACATCGTGTAAATTATAATGTAATATTTTAGGCATCTAAAATCTTAATCCCTAAAAATTGTGTAGGCTAAGTAGAAGATTGTCGAAAATGATCAAAAATATAAATACGGCCAATTTTCCACTATTACCGTGCGCAAATATAACTGACGGGATGAATGTAGGTACGTTTTGTAAAAATTATCTGAGCAACCATGCGTGTATATGATAATCTGCACGATTTTGCCTTCTGTTGGGTGGGCGAGCCATCACGCTATAAGTTTACCTGTGGGAACGTATATGAGAAAATGGTACTGACATCGAATTATATCTACGTTAATAACTACAATACATGAGATGAAACTGCATTGTTAGAAACATGCAGAGTATCATAGTAATTATCCAGTAGATGGATTTGCTAACATTAGTAAATTCTCCGCTTTATCCAATCATGATCGTCAACGAAGCGAGTTTTGGGGGCACTGGAGAAAATCACCTAAAACTTTTGTTCGTATTATAAGTGATGCGAAATTTCTGGTGATTTTACCAATTCCGTAACAACATGCACGCATTTATTATTTGGTGAAATTGATATAAATCGGAACGAAATGTGTAAATAGCAGCATTTATTATTCTCTAAAAAACCTATTATAAATTCTACACTTCAAATCAATCAGTGACCCGTCAATTTGTCACGATGTCGCAAAATAGACACATTGCGCAAGGTTTGCTTCCCGCGATATGGCCAGTGAATTATTCGTTGGAGTGAAAACTATCAATAGCAAATATAATCTCATAAACAAATTAGAATCAGTGTCAGTGTGAAAGAAACTGCTAGAACGTACAAACGAGACGCATTCGGGCTCTAAATCAGGAAAGCGTCGTCCGCTATTTCTTGTCATCCGAGTAATAGTCTAAAACTCGGATAAAAATAGAAGTCACGCACTCAGTTCTTTGAGCTACACGGAGAATAAATGAAAGTAGATATCGGTCTTATGGTATGATCATTATGTCAAAGTTCCGAAACATACAGAACGTTATCTTTTTCAATCTCGATTGTTTTTGGCATATTTGACTCAGCTGATTTTTGACAAAAAGATTCCCGTAATGAAAATTGACTCAAAATGACGATATATATTACCACAAAAGAGAACAATGAAGTTTAGTTTGTTATAAGATTGTAATATGACTAATCTTACGTAATTTTCATGTGTTCATCAAATGTCTAATCAAAAAGTGCTATGTAGTGTACCTTCGTCGAAACAAAGTTGTCACAATTTTTAAAAATAAATTAAGCACAAACTAGGATGAAATTTCATAGTTATTTCGGTTGAGAAAAAACCTCGGCTATTTAACCCGTGCATACAAAAGATCTGGTATATGCTTTTACGCGAATTTCTTTTAAATACTGAGCTTGTCTCAACGCGGCTTGTTATTTTTCTAGCGTTTTCCTTGACAGTGTCAATCAAAGTGCTTCTCAACTCAACTCGATTGATTGAATGGGCGTTCCACCCCAGTCGCAAAAAAAAACGAAACAAAAATTAAAGCTTGAAAACTATTGATGTTAAACGACCAAAATGTAGAAATTGTTTATCATGACCTAACTCGCCTCAAAACCGAAACTTTAGGTATGCATCATGATAATGTTTGTCGCGATTTTTTATGGAGATTCGTGATCAATTATTTACATATAGCTACCGTCCTCGCCGGACTGTTTTCATTGACGTGCTACTTATGCATGCTGTTGTGATAAGGTTGTTTTTCTAGATCTGCATGGTGGCGTTGAGTACTTTTCTGCCACATACAGTTACATTCAATTGGTACGGAAAGTGTATTATAATGATAATCCAGAATGCAGGTAAAATAGGGGTAAGATCGGAAGAATAAAATATATCCCTTTCTTAATTTAGTTATAAACTTATAACTGTAAGTTACTTGCGAACAATTTGTAATGTAATCTGTGCTAAATTACTAATTACTTATAGATCTTAGATCATGAAAATATTACCTTATTGTACATTCGTATGACGAAGTTGTAATTTTACATTATAAAAACGAAAATATAAGATTACACTTAATGGTATTTTAATGGTACTATTTATTGATTCTTGATCTGGCATGGGCAAACTACGGCCCGTGGGCTGAATTCAGCCCGCTGGGTAATTCAACCTGGCCCGCTTGATGTTGCCAAAACCAAACTGAAACTAAATTTTGATGTTTAAGCTAAAAAAAATAGATCGAGAAATTTATTGTGATTGCGATTAATTTTAGTTTTGGCACGAGGCTTATGGTTTTCTACTTTTGCTTTTGTAACACTGTAAATATTGTTGATTAAATATAACTGTTTACGTTACACTTACATGGCCCGCCAGTGTAAGTAAGCGAAATTTTTGGCCCCTGGTTCAAAAACCTTGCCCACCCCTGTTCTAGATACTGGTTAGACCAGATGGTCGGGAAATGATATGGTTACGACGTTACTCGTATGAATTTCTGGTTTGGACTGTTAAGATCAAATTGGTTGGTAATTGAAAGCGGTCACATTTATTGAACAATATCAATAAAAAACTTCAAACCTCCGGTTTAAGGATTTTGAAAATTGAACAACATAGGTTATTGATTACAAGTTCAAGCATCACATATCATGCATCGAATCAGTAATAAGTTGTATGAGGTTACTGATAACATGGAAGAACAGATAAACAATGAAGAAAATCGTACCTTGCTATAATTGTAGAAAACAAGTAAAAGACTGTTAGAGAGGATTAACGATGTATTCCGAATTTCTTATCTAATTTTCAACAAAATCTAATTATCAGTGATTTAAATCGGATTATTTTTGTGCCTAATGTCGCTCCAGGCAAGCTCATAAACGCTTACTTGAAAGAGAATAGTATTTACATATTGAGTCTGCGAGGAATCACAGAGCACTTGATCCGTAAACAAAAAATAATGACACTGAATTTCTTCAACAAAATGGAAGGACTCATTTGAACTGAAGCACTTCAAAGTAATTCAATCCGTGATTACTTAAGATAGGGCACTGTGCAATTGCTGCTGCAAAACTACGCAAATGCGGCTGAAACGGACACCACACGTAGTTGATGAGCTGGCAAATTGTCAGTTGCTTAGACTTCAATGAAAATTTATCACGGCAGCCCCAAAATAAGAGTTTAAAATCAGCTGGAAAAATACGCGCCAGGACTAGCTGGCCACAAAGCCGAGATGGATCTTTATGATCTTCAAGATCAACCTTCCTTTATGAAATTTAGGGAATACTGTTATGCTGAAGACTTGTAGCCATAAAGCAGTGACCTTCGACCCGAGAGCATTTCATTCATTCCGTGAGGAGACAGCACGTCGTAGCGCCGGTTTTGTGGCATATATTCAGACTTTCAGATAGCTCAGAAATTTTTTGGAATCTTCTCCTTCCTGGAGTTAAAACCGCACATTAAAATTGATGAATGAATTTACACCTTAGAAATATTTATGATGGCAGCCCTGACCTATAGAGCGCTTCCAGTTTAATGCAACTGGTATATGCATGTGTTCCGGATTTATTGCACTAAAATTTCATACTCTGGTGTGAGCACAACAATATACTTTGGCTCAA